TCTTGGCCTTCTCTTGTACCCCCGACCAATTCATATCCAGCTGGAGATCAGGACCGAACCAGAATCCGAGTATCTAGACTGGTCCAACCGTTCAGAGGAAAGCTACCTGAAGAGAAACTCCCTTCCACGCACCCAACTGCAAACCAACAGACTTATCGCCGTTGATCTTGGCCCCTTTGTCACCATCTCATAACCACTGATTTCTTTTCTGACTTCGTCAATCTCAGCTCTGCTTGACACAAGAACCGAAACGTCATCAGCATATGCAGAATACCTGGCCGAGATGGTAGCAACAGGCAGGGAAATCAGCAGCAAACGTTCTAATTTTTTATTAATTTGTCCCACCAGGCATTCGCAACCACAGCCCCGATCAATTCCCTCTGTATCATTAGTAGCAGCTGGTGCCGGAAACCCTGCTCACCAAATAATGAGCAGTTTAATTTCCAGTAGCCAGCCAACCTAACCTTTGGTTTATCTAAGTTTACACGGACCCGGACAAGCCTATGATCCGAATAAACTATATAATGAAAACTTGGACACTCTAAGAGCCCTACATCGACCCTCCTAAGACACGGTCGAGGTAGCTAGAAAGCACCCCTGTAGCCGAACCGCTACTATTTGTCCAAATCCAAACTACCTCCCGAGGGTGTTCATTCTGGTACTTATCGACAAGATCAAACTTGTCGATAAAGTCCCAAAATGGTTTCACATCTCGGTTGTCAGTATCCGATTTTGGACCACTATGATCTATGTCGGTGTCAAGGACGGCATTCTAATCCCCAGCTAAAACTACCCGACGAGATGTCAAAAACGGCTCGATCTGCCGCTCAAATTGCTTATTGGGTGCATAAAGCCCCATGAGTCGAAGAGCTTCGCAGCCTTCAAAGACTTGCTCAATAGCCAAGAGACACCTCTTGAACGACCAACAAAACATGCTGAATAGAAGAAGAATCCCTGGACAGAATTCTCTCATGGTTATGAGTAGAAAACCGGGTCTCCTGCATACAACAAACATTCACCCCGAGGTGCTGAAGGTCACGAGAGAGCTTCGCCTTGCGAGACTCTGACCTCAGGCCTCGGGCATTTGTACTTGCTAACAAGAGAGCCATAATGAAAACCGATTAGGATTGCTCTCCTACTTTGAACATGGCTGGGGTTAGGACAGCGACGGCTTCTCCCATTGAACCAATACCCATCTCATTTTTGACGGTACCAACAGGAGACAGGCCGCTAATGTCCAGGAGGAAAATTAGTTGATTTAGTTTCTTCGCATTTTCGTTGTCAAAGTAAGCTAACGGCGGATAAGTATCCAAAGCGAAATTAGCTTCACGTAACATGGCCCAGGTGGTTTTTGAGCCACGTCCCGCTCTGACAACAATGGAAAACTTTTGGGGTCTTCAATGTCCAAGTTGTTTATTTTATTTTATTTATTTTTTTCATATTCAGAAGAATTTTAAGGTCTTTTGCTTTGCGGGCGAGGGGGAGAGAAAATGCTCTGTCGGACTGGTATTTTTTCACCCGACACACATCTCCCCCCCACCACCACCACCTATTGAAAAGTGATTTATGTTTTACTATTTTTTTTTCTTTGATCGGTTCAGCACAGTCTGATGATGGGCTGCTTTGCCTATTTTGAGTTTCAGTTTTTAGTGGTGAATTGCTGGGTGTTTTAACAGGGGATGGATTAGGGGTTTTGGACGCAGTGGGATTTTTAAGGGTGATTTAGAAGCAGTGGAGTCAGTTTGAAAGGGGCCATGGTTATTGTTTGCAAAACAAGGGGTGGAGCCATAGAAGGCTGTATAGAAGATGGAGACGACGGAACTGATGTAGAACGTCTTATAATTCTGTCAGGATGATGTTTTAAAATTTCTTTCAACCTTTCCAATTTTTCCTTTTTCTCAAAAGAAGGCTCGTATCTAAGCCGCTGTTGGCGCAGTTTGTCGAATAGGTGGTCGAAGAGTCGCCCTTAGTAAAGGCAGAGGGAGTGGGGAAGTGCGTGTCTTTAGCCGTGGGGACTTCAGTGGAACGAAGTCCCGCTGCCCGGAGCTTCTCTTTGACCTCACCAAAGACCTGCTATTTCTCCTCTTCCTTCACCGCAACCGCACTAGCGGCGGGCGAAGTCTTTTCGGGGAATGGGGGCTGAGAGACAGACCCAACCGGGGTCTAACCACCCCAGTCCCGGTCGCTGGCACGCCTATTACAGGCGAGACGGATGTAACAGACTTGGTCGCAGGGGGATTTGGGTCGACAGGGGCCAGAATAGAGATCTTATCTGTGCAGAAAGAGGACAGGTGATCATGATCAGTCTGTCCACACTTCCTGCATGACGGTCTACGTCCGGTGACTATGATTGGCATCTTCTGGCCCGCTACATCCAGACAGTTGGGGATGGAGATGAAGGCCTTACAGTCTATCATGATTTCGAAACTTCATCCCCCGGTCAAATCATCAGAGGAACCACTGAGTATCTGACCAAATTGGTACAGATAAGCGGCTAAGTGATCCCCGACGATCTGTGGAGGAATCTCAAATACTAATACTTGGTCCTCCGCCTGCCTTCATATTCTGTATGCAGAATAAGGTCTTTGGTTTTGAGAATGGAAGCGGCTTCACAGTCGGTAGGCGTGGGTACGTCCCACATAAAAAAATCCTTTCCTTTGATCAGAAATTAGTGATTTAATTACGGTGTCTTTTGCGGAGCGACAAATTTTTGCGCGAACGCTTGTCCACCACACAATTCTTTTTTCACCTCTCTTTAACTCCTCAGGATTGACCAAAAGCCCATCTGCTGCCACCAGATGTGCGTAACTTTTGGCTTTCTCGAGGAACTCCGTGGTGTTGATTGAATACTTAGGCGGGGACATCCAGGAGGAGGGCGTCTCCCCGACCACTATATTTTCGTCTTTAGTTTTGTCATCTTCAGCTGCTTTTGTCTGTTTTGGTGAATTTTGGCCACTTTTGGCCTCCATAGATTTGTCAGATTTCGTCAGGTTTTCAGTATTTTGGGACTCTCCAGCTACCATATTCTCACTGGAAATATTAATATCGGCAACAACCTCCTGCTGTTGGCTTTTTCCGTCGTCGACTGTCTCCATAACATCTTCCTATTTATTCTCCTGTTCCTTTCTTTTTCTTTTTAGTCCCGAAAAGATTTTTATGGACCATTTTAAAGATTGAAAAGTTAGGGAGGGGGTCATTTTTCTATTTAAAAAGAAACAAAAAACGGTAAAACTTTTCCGATAATTAAGAACAAGAAAAAGAAGAACAATAGGTTAGAAACAAATAAAAATTAACAGTGTATAGGATACAACAGTTCAAACGAGAATACCAAAAACAAACGTTATACGAACGAAGACCCGAAAAAATGACACAAAATAAGGTAAACTATAAAGAAAACATTTTAAGCAACAATAAACCTTTTTTCAAAACTAAATATAAAAGTAAAAAAGACAATCTACAAACCCGAATACAAACCAAATAATACGTATAAAATAAACAAAAAATTCAATATGGCTGCCGTAAAAAAAAGCTTCGCCGATGAACGAAATACAAAAATTAAAAAACGGACAGATTAGACTAAATAAACGCCAAAAAATTAGAACAAATAAGAAAACGGAAGAATCAAACAAATAAAACACAGTACACTTAACGGATATTTAAAAAGAAAAAAATCAAAGAACGAAGTAAGATGTAATAAATAACACGTAATAAATAAACAAAGAAAAAAATAAAGTCGGACGACGGCAAAAATAACATGTAGAAAAAATAAACAGAAAAACTCTGGAAGGGGGATATAGAAAATCAAAAGAAACGGAAAAAAAATAACATTAAAAAGGATACTTAACAGTAAAAATCAAAAAACTAATAATAGAAGAATAAATACAAAATAAAAAGGAAAACAAAAATGTGAATGTAATAAATTGAAAAGGAAAAGAAAAAATCAAAAACCTTTTTCAAATAACAGTCAGTAAGAGAACGTACAAAAGTAAAATAAATCAGAACTTAACTAAAACGGAGTTTGTAGAAACAAAAACGAATTTCCTAGCGTGGCAGAAAAACGGACGTATCAGGTCTAGTAAGCACTTCAACGCTGTCCTAATTTCCAACTGCAGTATTTACTACTGTATTTATGTGAATGGGTCATACATTATCGTTCGTAGGTATGCTACAACAATAACTTAAATTACTGTTGGGGTCAGATAAGACTGTCAGGTTAACTGAGTCTCGACTGCCTCCCAAGGAAGTCTCTCAGGTTAGTATTTATGAAGAAGAGGAAGAGTTCATTTTCCTAATAACAATTATTATTATTATTATTATTATTATTAATGGGTGATAAATCGTGGAAAATGAATCACAATCATGTATGCAAACAAAAAGACCCTGTGTTTGTGGTGGGAAACAATAACTTAAATTACTGGATCATGAGAATGGACTGATCTCTACGATATAGGACAGTGCTAAGAATTCTAGGGAGATCAAGAGCCTGATTGACCATTACACTTCTGTCTCTCCACCGGAAGTTACCGTTGGACTTTAGACTCTTGCTGATTGTTATAACTAACCTGCGTTCGTTATTACTAATAACTCTGTTGTTAAATACCTCTTCAAATATACCAGTATTTTCCCCTACATATGTGTTTGTTCCTTATTTCGACACACGCACGCGGGAACACTCCCAACATCTCAAAAATTACTTTGTCGAATATTGACGGAAATTAATTGAATGCAGGTAGACACACAAGAGCCTGATTTTGCTAACGTAAACTACTAGGGAAACTAGATCTATTTGCAAAAGATGTTAGATTAATCCAAAGCTTAAACATATAGAAAATAAATTGAATAGCTACATGCAAATAGAAAGAGGCGTGAGACAAGAATGCCTCTTCTCCTCAGATTCATTCAACCTCTGCGACGAACTTTTTCCTAAGAGAGCTGGAGTCCTTAGCAGGATTTATTATTGGTGGGTGTAATTTGAACAATATACGCAAAATATCCTGTTTTTACGGCCACATCACGTTGAAACACTGGATTACCGAAGTTAAGCTACGACGAGACTGGTCAGTACCTAGATGGGTGACCGCTTGTGAATACCAGGTGCTGTAAGCTTGGATGTGCGGATGGTGTAATGGATACTGGCGAGGAATTGTTAATCGGAGAGCCGAGGTCCAATTCCCGTTGAGTTCGTTATATTCACTTACGCGCAAATACCCTTGGAAAAGATATGACTGCACCTCTTTTCCCCAGCTATGGGTTAAATAGTAAAACATATTACTGAACGATTATTATTATTATTATTATTATTGTTGTTGTTGTTGTGATCTGTTAGGGGCGAAAGAAAGACGCGAAAAGAAAAAAGTAGTTTGAACAAGTGTATTGAAATAACAGAACATATATAGAAAATAAGAATGTTATTAGTCAGCAGATAGAAGTGTCCGTCTGAACTGTCAGGTTACACTGAGTCTCGACTGCCTCCCAAGGAAGTCTCTCAGGTTAGTATTTATGAAGAAGGAAGAGTTCATTCTAATGTAGATAGGTCACCATAACAATTATTATTATTATTATTATTATTATTATCCAACCACTTCAAAAAAAAATTTCTTACAATCTAAAATTATTTTCTGGCTTTACATAACCTCCACTGGGTTGATAAATCGTGGAAAATGAATCAGTCAATCAAGTATGCAAGCAAAAGACCCTGTGTTGACACGGGAAGAAAAATACAGGGGCTTCTGGATAGTGTAGAAAAAGAAAGCGAGATAAAAGGCCTAATTGCAAGATTGCATAAAGTATGGTCATCAGCCCAAGACGCTAGTTAGGAAAAATCAGCATTAAACAACTGCAGAAGTTTAGATGTCTGGGAAGTGTTTTAATAGTGGATAGAAAATGCGACGCCGATATCCGAACACACACCGGACTAATCATTCCAAAAGGTAAACATAATAGTGAGAAACGGAAAAAGTTTGTTAAAAACAAAGAAAAGAGTCTTGGATTGCTATTTGATATTAATCGTTTTTATATGTCACTGAATTTTGGGTAATCTCCCTATGGACGAAGAGAAAACTGGAGACAACAGAAATGTGGTTCTACTGTAGGATACTGAGAATTTACATGGACGGAGCGTGTGTAGCAACAAAAAAGTCTTACAGAAAATTGCAACAAAAAGAACACTTATGACTCTGAGATGAGGTATTATGTACACTATTTACATTATTCTGACTATTGTCCTCATCTTTGTTGCTATATTTATCACAACGTTTCGGCCGTTGTACGCTCCGGCTTTCTTCAGGTAGTTAGAATGTCGAACCGGACCCTTTATTTCGCTTGCTGGGGTAGATTGTTTCATTTCCACGTGTCATGTTATCAGTTATCTCCTGTTAACTCACCTCTCCAAGTTCTCCACTGCCTTAATCAGGTATTGAACTCACAACTCTTTGGATCCTGTCACTGGATCTAACCGACGCCTTTATCCACTGTACCATGCATTCTGAAGAAGGCCGGAGCGTACAATAGCCGAAACGTTGTGATAAATATGGAAACAAAGATGAGGACAATAGTCCAACTAATGGGAATAGCGGTAATAATGTATTGTTGGTAATTTTTTTTTCTTCAAAAGTTCATTACTGGTAATAATTTTTTACAAAATATATTGCCGGTATTAAAACATATTTTTACACTTTCATAGGGCTTTGACCACAGTTCGGGGGTTAACTATTTGCCCATAGCTAGGACCCTAACAGGTTCTAACACCTCGGTGGTCCTGGGAACACCAGCAATTAAGATGTGGTTCCACGCTCTTCAAAACCTGATCAGGGGCCTTGCTGTTGGATGTAGTTTATCGTCTTACCCAGGACACGACCTGTTTGGGGATATTCGTTAAGACGAATCGAGTTCGCTAGTCACTGGCGCGTTTATCTAAAAATAAATACGTCTAAATTCACCTTCATCCCTACCGTACGGCAATGAGTCTCGATCCCGTCTTGAGGCAATCAGATGTCAAGCTACACTGATGAGAACAGTTTTTCTGTGGATGACAATATAAAAAAAATATTCTCAAATTAAGCCACAAAAAAATAGTTACAATTGATATCTGTCTATATTTCTGAGATGATGTGTTGTAACTATTTACATTGTTCGAACTGTTGTCCTCATCATTGTTGTCATACGCACAATGTTTCGGCTGTTATACACCCCGGCATTCTTCAGCATCTGTCTATATTTCTGAGATGAGGTATTGTAACTATTGACATTATTTACATTGTTCAGATTGTTGGCCTCATCTTTGTTAATGTTTCGACCGTTGTACGCTCCGGCCTTCATCAAGGACATATAGCCCAGTGGATAAAAGCGTTGGTTGAAGTAATCCAATGACTTAACCCAAAGAGTTGAGAGTTCACTACATGACCATAGCAGAGGTGAACAAAAACTTGGAGAGTTGGATTATTAAAGGGAATTAACTCTATTAATTAATAATATATCCGGAAGATGCATGGCACGTAGAACTAGAATAATCTACCCCAGTAGACGAAATAAAGGGTCCGGTTGGAAATACTAATCATCTGAAGAAGGCCGGAACGTATAATGGCCGAAACGTTCTGAATATGACAATAAAGATGAGGACAACAGACTGAACAATGTAAATAGTATAAATAGTTACAATATCTTATTTCAGAAATATAGACAGACGCTGAAGAAGGCCGGAGTGTATTACGACCGAAACATCGTGAATATGGCAATAAAGATGAGGGCAACAGTCCGAACAATAGTGTAAATAGTCAAAGTTGAAATGTTTTATTATCAATGCAAAAGGAAACTGCTTAGCTGAATATTGATTAAATATTGGATTTTTAAGCTTATATATGTAATTTTATAGGTTTCATAGGTGCGCAACTTTGTGTCGAAATTTACTAGAAAACGAAAAAGCGCGGTATATTTTCCTCTTGGAAAATAGTTGGTTGGATGTAACATTAACTAAGCAAATGTCAACGAGTGCAAAGAACAGAAGTAAGGGAAAGAAACGAATTGCAGTCGATTGTTATTCAGTGTGATTGTTTTGTGATTCTTTTTTTTTTTTTTTTTTTCTTTGCGGAGGGCGGCAGCAATAGTCAGGGTGTGAGAGGGCAAATGGTGTTGCGTTCGGTGCTTTCCATGTATTCTTGCGCACCATAAAAGAAACATCTCTTCATTGATCTGCTTTTGCCGCGTCACTTTTTGATGTTGGACTGCGATGAACTCTTCACTCTTCGTCTTTCTCACCTTTTTTTGTTTTATTTCAGCTTACACTCTCTTTGTAACTATCATTCTCTTTCTCTCGTCCTTTTTACTTTCAATCAATTTTTTTCCCTTTCACTTATTCCGCTTTCCTCTCTCTTTCTCTCTCGCTCAATTACTTTACCTACTCCATTTTTTACTTCATATTTGTTTGTATGAACATCAATAAAACCTGTTCGAATTTGTGGTTTGATGCAGAAAAGTAGCTACTGTTTTAATTTGTATTTTTTGTTTTTTTGAGAAGGTTATTTATTACTTACTTTTGTTATATGTCTATCTATATACAGTAATATTTTTAATACAGGAAGAGGAAGTACGAGGTTAGTGAGTGCATGGTAGTCTGTGAAATTGTTGTGGACAGTAAATAGACGCACAAGGAAGTAATTTGAACATATATATATATATATATATATATATATATATATATATATATATATATATATATATATATAGAGAGAGAGAGAGAGAGAGGGCGAGAGACATATGAGAAGGTTGTGATAGATAGATAGATAGATAGATAGATAGATAGATAGATAGATAGATAGATAGATAGATAGATAGATAGAGATTAAGTTATGAATAAATTGGGGTAGATATATAAGAAATTACACTGATATTGAAATACATATAGTGAGAGTGATAGACTAACTGTAATAGATAGATAGATAGATAGATAGATAGATAGATAGATAGATAGAGATTAAGTTATGAATAAATTGGGGTAGATATATAAGAAATTACACTGATATTGAAATAAATATAGTGAGAGTGATAGACTAACTGTAATAGATAGATAGATAGATAGATAGATAGATAGATAGATAGATAGATATGAGCCAGTTTGGATAGATATATATGAATTGGATGGATAGATATATAGGAATTGGATGGATAGATATATATGAATTTACTCAGATATGAGATAGAGAGATTGAGAGATGAGCAGACTGACTACGATAGATAGATAGATAGATAGATAGATAGATAGATAGATAGATAGATAGATAGATAGATGCTAAACATCTTTAAGGACGTAAGAGCATGATCAAGGAACGCCGAACGTAGAATAATTGTGAAACATTTCCATTCTTTGTAGAATAATTTTATGCTTTTACAATCAACAGGCTTCATTTCCACTATAAATAATTTCCTACGTGAAGTTGAAACTCTCATTTGACATCAAGATGGGGCCCAAATTCAGCCGAATCAACAGGTTAAATCAATCTGGCATTAAAAGAAGGGGCTGTATAACACCTTTAGAATTCTTTTTTTAATTATTCGATCTATGCAATTGATATTATATAGCAACTCCAGCACTCCTTCCTTTCCAACGAAATTTTCCTCTTTCCAACGACATTTTTTACTTTCTTAATAATTTCTATAGTTTCTAGAAGGCTTCTTTTGCTATTCAAAATATTTGTATTTCAGTATTCGCTTGCTTTTAACATATGCAATAGGGCAGATTGATTTTGGAAATGTGTCATTGCACACAATTTGAAAGTTGGGGTTGGACATGATAAATACGGGCATATTTTTTTTCCAAATCGTTAACGCTTTTTGAGGAAATGAGTTTAAAGATTAAGTTTAGGTTCAAAATCATACGGTTGGAATTTTATTTCGATGAACATTGAAAGCCTTATAGCACAGCCTTATGAAATTTATAATTTACTGAAGCTTCACAAATTGTATATGGACAAGATGCATGGCACAAGCAGATTATTACTAAATCATTGTGTCAGCAAATAAGACATTCATTTACGTCAAAGGGCAGTTATCCTGGACAATTTCACTATATTATGATGTAATATGTTATACAGTGCAGTAGTTTTAGTGTGA